CAGAATACACCTCTGCCCTACACCCAGCAGGGGCCCTGGGCCACCCCACCTTCCTGCCCTGAACTTCCCAGCAGGTGGGCTGCGCCATGGATCCAGGGCAGCCTCAACATGGATACCTCTTCATCCCATCCCTTCAGGGCCTCCTGTCCCCATCTGACTTCATGTAGACCCCTGTCCCCGAGCGCCCTATCTAGACCCTATATACTTTGCACCCCCAGTCTGCCCAGCCCTTGTCCCTGCCTCCTTGGTGCCCTGGTGGTCTGGGCTTCACCTCCCCCTAGCCCTGTGGCTCCCTGGCCTCTGGGCCTCAGACATACCAGTTCTCCGGGAAGCCATGCAGAAACAGCATGAGGGGCCCGTTGCCCTGTCCAGCGGAGACATAGTGCAGACGCAGGCCCGAACTCTGGGGGAGGGCACAGTCTGAGACTTGGAAATCTCCTCTTCCCCGGGCTTGAACACCCCTCTTCCCCCAGACCACGTGCGCACCAAGACTTGTATTCAACCGTTTGCCACCCCCGCACCGTCCCCACACAGGCTCTTCGATCCTCGAAACCCCGGTGGCGCCCCCGCACGCTCACCCTGAGAGTCAGGAAGCAGTGCTCGCCCAGCGTGGGGTCGCTCAAGCAGGCGGGTGGGGTACGCCGGGGGCGCCCGCAGCAGCCGCGTCGGGGCCGGCACAGCACGTGCGTGAGGGCGATGCAGCCATAGACAGCTGCGGCCACCAGCGCCGCCGAGAACACGAGGCTCCACATGAAGGCACGAAGCAGCTTCAGAGTGAGGCGCGACGGCGCCAGCAGCGCCGTCACCACCAGCTCGGGCATGTCGTCGCGTCCTGGGACGACCGCGATGCCGTCTGGGGTATGGGCGAGGGACGCGGGCAGCAGCAGCGAGGCGGGATCCGGGCTGGGGACCCCACCGCCTTTGGTCTGGGGCTCTCCCGTGCTGTCGGGGTTTGAGGAACACCGAGAGAAGAGGCGGGCGGCTCAGACCGAAACCGCCACCGCGCACGACTCACCTAAGGGCTAGGTAAACGCCCAGGCGCGACAGTGACAGGGAGCAAGGCTTGAGGTGCGGGGGTGGAGCCTGTGAGGACCAGGCTCGTGTGGTTGGGGTGGAGCCTTGGGGAGAAGGGATGCTAGGGGCTAGGGCTGTGGGCGGGACCTAGAAATTCTTGGGCGGGACTTAAGAAAGGGACGGGGCCTAGTAGGACTCCCGAGTTGGGTGTGTGGGTGGGGTCTAAAGTCTAGAGGGACCGCAGGTCCTGCACGAACGGGAGACAGGGGACGCAGTGGGTGAAATGGGCGGAGCCTAGAGCAAAGGGGCGGGGCAATGCAGGGTAGGTGCAGCCTACCAGCTGGAAAGGTGGGCCCAACTAGGCCTAGGAGCGTTGTATGGGTTAGGGGCGTGGCTTAGGAGGGTGGGAATGAGGGTGGAGCCTAGAGAAGGCGGGCCTAACGTTGGGCGAAGAAGGCCCGAGGCTGGGCCTGGATGACTTGGGTGCGAGAGCTGGACCATTGAGCCGCCAGTCGGCCTGGGTACGGGCCAATGAGACGGAGGGGCGGAGTCAGAACTAATATGGCGGGTCAGGTGGGCCCGGAAGCGGAGGGGGCGGCAGGCAGTGCCGTGCCTGGGGTTAGGAGGGAGGCGCGGGCGGTCGCCGCGGCCCAAGGAAGCCTCAGGAGCCCCTGTCGCCAGCCCCCCTCTGGTGGCTTCCCGCCCTGGAACGCGCGACCCTCCCCTCGGTCTGGCTCCGAGAGACCTGGCAGCACCTTCACCAGGCCCTGGTTCCGACGGTGATCCGGCTGCCTCTACCCCACGCTGGCCTCCAGTTGGTCCAGCGGACGCGTTGGCCCGCCCCTGCGCAGCTGTGATTGGACAGTGGAGGTCATTGATGTGCAGGCGACAGGTCCCGCCCGGGACCCAATCCGCAGTTGGTGAGGTCGAGGCTCAGCCAATGGCGACCAAAGAAGGCGGGGAGACCAACTCCTAGAGGGCAGGGCTCGCCCCGGCCGCCGGAGAACGGGACTGGTCGCATCACTGGGGCTCTGGGCGAAAGAGGAAGCAGAGCAGGGCTGGGCGAGCAGGGCAGCTTCTTCCTCCTCCAGTTTCGCAACCTTCCTCCCAAGATCCTGAACATTTCAAGGTCGCTCATCATTTAACCCTTATAACAACCCTATTAAGTGTAGGTACTATTATTACCTTCCCGTATTACAGACCAAGAGCCTGAAATTCGGCAAATGACTTAATGTCATTTGCCTAAAGCCTAACAGCTGGCTCAACAGCAATCCAAGGAGTTGAGAAAAGCAGCAGTCTTCGGCTCCATCTTTCCTTCCGACCGCAGCAGCCACTGGAACGATTTTCGCTTTCTTCTTTCGCACATTTAGCTGTCTCTACATGTGCTTATGTGGCTATTTCTTGATTTGGGGCGTTGACTATTTCATTGTCACCACCACTGCAGGAGCTGTATCCATGGTTTTCCTATTGGTTTCCTCTAACTTTACCCCATTTTTATCACCTCCCATCTTCCCTTACACCTACCACTGTTAACCTTACCTTTGTATTTTCAAAGCTGCTAAACATTATACTTGTCCTGGGACCATAAGTCCATAGGTCCCTATTTAAAGGGAAATAGTGGTTTATGTGGTTCTGCTTCATTAACAATGCATCTCAGAGTGGAAGAGACGTCTATATTGCACAAACGTTTGTTTGCCTTGCATTTATCACCCACTTTTCTTGCATGATTAGCCTGTATCATGGCTTTGATTTCATTTACGTTTTCCATCAAATCAGTTCTCCAACCACTTGGTGATCCCGGTATCCCTCCCGAGTACAACCTAGATGCATGTACCAGCCATGGCTGGTGGGTGTCTGTGGACCTCCCTTCTTCTGCTGCTACAGAACACTGACTCCTACATCCCTGCTACTGGCCCCCCACCCCGCCCAATCTCTACCCTTAAGCAAAAAGACAGCAGTAGTCACAGGATGATAATTTTATATTCAGTACAAATGTTTATTTTTGCAATGAGAACTGCACAAAAAAAAAAAATTTAGTATATAAGTGAAAAGTCTACGAATTCCCTTCTACAAATGTCTAAGGTGTTTAATACAAGTCTCAGGTTCACTGACATAATTATTGGCCAAGCGATCCGTGCATACAGTACAGTATGGGCTTGTACACACCTCTTACTCTTGTATAGAACTAAGATTTCCAGTACTGTGGGAGAGACTGGGAAATGGCCAGAGAAATTAAATAGTAGATCCAAGTTCTAATTACAACCCAGTTAAGAGAAACACCCATCAGGGAGGTGTGCAAAGGGCCATAGCAGAATTAAATCTTTAGAAGGAAGGTGCAGACAAAACCATTTCTCCAGCTAAACAGTCAGACTTGGCCTGGGGAAGTTTCTGAACAAAACACGGAACAAAAATGAGGAGGTGGGATGAGATGGAAGAAACCCCAAGGAACCAAAATATGTCACACTTGAACCAGCACAGTGGCTTATGAGGAAGTGCTGTGGGAGGGAGAGGAGGCAGGATTGCGTAGCAGGAGCAGGGCAGGTCTCTGGCTGAATGCCTGAACTACATACACCATTAGCTGAGAGGTTTGGCAGATTCCAAACACAAGATACAGGGTCTTTCTGGTTGAAAAACAGAAAGTGGGATGTGGGTTAATAAACAGTGCTGGAAATGTTTCAATCACTTTGTGTCTTTGCATACGTATAAATCACATACTTCCATCCTACATCCTGGGGGCCGCTCTTGGGTACTGCCTTTGCCCTGTGGCTGGGGCGTGTGTGTACAGATGGGTACACAGGCAGACTGGCAGGGTGGAATGGGTGCGTGTGTGTGCTTGGAGGGGTGGGGGGCGAGGATCCTATTTTGGGGGATGTACACTTATCTAAGAATAACTGGTTAACCCTGAGCTTAAACAAAAGGAGTAGTTCAGTAGAGGCAGGCAAGGTAGGAGAAGTGGCTCAAGTCCTCTGGCCAAGTGGGGGACCAAGATGGAGGAAGGGCAAAGGGGAAGAACACTGTCTGGAGTCTGACCAGGTTCTGCTGGAAGAAGCCAACCTAGGCCAGGGGTCCACAGGAAGAATGGGTACTTGGGCTCCCTGACACAGCTTCAGCTTATAGGGGTCAGCTCCTGCCCAGAGACAGTAGGGACAGGACACGTGGTCCCCTGTCGGTAGATCTTGTACAGAGGTGGTGTGGGGGGCCCCTGGGCCTAGCCTAGGCCAACAGGTGGTTCACAAAGAAATGTCAGGGAGACGCCAGCATTAAAAAAGAGAGATGTGTTTATTCCATGATCAGTACAGACCAAATGCATATTCACCGTATGAAAGTCAAACCAGTCAGTGACTCCAGAGTTTGGCCAACACTGAGGCACCAGCGTCATGGTGTAGAGTGGGTTCTCATGGCACACGTAACCTCACCAAGGGCTCCAATTATAAAATTAAAAAAAAGCGGGGGAAGGGGCAGCCGGTTGGTAGGGCCAAGCGCCAGGCGGGGAGCTTCTGCCTCAGTCTGTGGCCTGTGGCCCCTGGCCCCTTGCGCCCACCACGTCCCCTGGCCCTTCCTCTCCTGGTTAAAAAAAAAAAAACAAAAAAAAAAAAAAAAAAAAAAAAAAAGCCGGTTGGTAGGGCCAAGCGCCAGGCGGGGAGCTTCTGCCTCAGTCTGTGGCCTGTGGCCCCTGGCCCCTTGCGCCCACCACGTCCCCTGGCCCTTCCTCTCCTGGAAAAAAAAAAAAAAAAAAAAAAAAAAAAAAAAAAAAACAAAACACAACAACAACTCAGAAACAGCTTTGACATTAAAAAACAAAGAAGCAGCCAACGAATGGCGGGGAGAAAAAAAAAAGGAAAAGAAAACGTGGCTTTCTGGTTTTATAATTAAAAATAGACTAGTAAAGTTTGAAACTGAGTAAAATATAGGCAGTTTTTTTGTGTGTTTTGTATGTTTTGTTTTGTTTTTTTTTTGTGGGGTTTTTTTTTTTTTTGAGTTTTTTTACACCAGTTTGGTGGAGTCACCAACAAACTTCAAACAAAGATATGCCAACTATGTTTCACTACACAGTACAGCCACGGTCACACACTACCCACAGCGCGGTGGCAGCCGCCGCTCAATGAGGAGACAATCACACCATTTCGGAGATAAGCAGTGCCATTGTGTCTGGAGGAGAAGAGAAAATTAAAAATAAAATAGAATCCAACAAAAAATATATATATAGAAAAAAAAAAAAAGAACAGAAACACAGGTGGGAAGGAACTGACTTTGGTTGGTGGCCTCACTCGCCGGGCGAGGCCGGCCCACACACGCGCGTGTGACAGTCACCTCGCTCCAGATTGCCATGGACACACACACACCTCCACGGCACTATTCCCTTTTGCACAAGCGAACACTTACAGAGAGCGGCTCTCGATTAAAGGCTTGTGGGGGGAGAGGAAGGGAGGAGTGGGGTCTGTTCAAGGCAAAGTCAGTGCCAGCAAGGGGGTGGGCCAGCGCCCTCGCCACCTCCAGCTCTTGCAGGCCTGCCCTGGTCTCCTGGGTGTGGGCAGGGGCAGCTGGGGTGTGGAGGACTCCCGGCGGGCAGGACGTCACAAACGTCACGTTCTTGGGGACAGTAAACCAGTCACGGTGGCGGCAGCAACGATGTCCTGTGTATACTGTGTAGACATTTGGCAGAGAGAAGGGCCTCTGCCCCACACGTGGGGACTTGGGGCTTGGGTCTGGCCGGCACTTGCTCGTGGCGAGGCGTGCTCTGAGCCGACGTCCTGTGGGGCGGGGTGGGGGTGGGGGTGGCGGGACACCCGGCTGGCTGTAAGGCAGATAGGCTCTGCAGTCCTCAGCTGCCCATCAGGCCTGCCCCAGGCATAGCATGCAGGAGAGCCAGGCCCGGAGTTAGGCCCTTGCCACTGCTACTGCCTCCACTGCTGCCCCTAACACTATGGAGAGTCAACGTTTTGCCAGGAAATCAAAGTCAGAAGTCACCTAGGTGCTCTCAGAAAAGATTTTCTTCAAATATTGACAATAGATCACTCTGGAAATTCATGTCAATGGTAGCTGCCATCTGGAGGAGAGAGGAGAGCAGGAGAAAGTGAAACTCAGTGTCCTGCCCTTGCTGTGGCTCCCAAACCCTCACCCCTGACCTCTGGCATGGGCTATTCCCTCAGGGCCCACACCCCAGAACCTCCCCTGCACTGGGCCAGAGCACCTCTGAGGCCCAGAGGCCAGCACGGCACACATAAGAAGGAGCTCTGCCCTGAGTACACACCCAATGGCTCTCTGCTTGCACCCCACCTCTTGGGGAGAGAGCCTCCCTGCCCTCTCCAGGTTCAGGGTCCCCTTTCTCAACTCCTCCAGGGGTGGATCTCTGCCCAGCAGTGCCCACCAGAGTCCCCCAGCTCACCGCTTCCCGGCGCCTTCGCTCTTGCTCCTGCTTTCGGGCCAACTCCCTCTGCTGGTCCAGCATGGACTGGGGCTGGGAGCTCCGGGCCTGGGGGGTGGCGGCAGCGGCTACAGCAGCTGCCTGTTGCTGCTGCTGCTGCTGCTGCTCCTGTCGCTGCTGCTGCTGCTGCTGCTCCTGCCGCCGGCGTGCCTCCTCATGGGCTCGCCGGGCCTGCTCTAGTGCATCCTCATCCTCTCGGCTCCTGAGCAGAGCAGGGCTCCGTGTCACGTGGGGATGAGTGCAAGCCCTGGGAGCCCCACAACCTGCCCAGAGCCCGCGCCCACCTCATGCGCTCCTGCCGGAGCCGCTCCTTCTCCTTCTCTGCGTGCTCAGCCTGCGCCTTCAGGGCCTTCTCGCGTTCCTCCTTCTCCCGGGCCGCCCGGCGGAACTGCTCGAAGCTGTCACTTGATGACTTGGCTGTGGAGGACGGGGTGGTGGGATGCTTCTGCACCAGGCTAGCCCAGGAGCCCATATTCTTGATTTTTAGGTCCTGCGAGGCAGAGAGACCAGGGGGCCAGTGAGGGACCCTGCTGCCTCTGGACTCCTCCAGAGAGGCCCAAAGTCTGAGGACACAGCTACCAAGGCACCTCCTTGGGGTGGGGGCCAGGGGCACTCATGGGTCCACTGCTCCTACCTTTTTGGGTGCAACTGGCGTCTTCGGCTCCTGTTTCTGTTTGTCCTTGTCAGGGGCCCCCGGTGGGGGTGCATTCTGCTCAGGGGGCCGAATCACAGGCCTCCCTACATCCACGGGCTTCATCTCAGGCCCTGGAACACAAATAGCCCATGGGCCTGGGCCCAACCCACCTCAGTGGGGCACGGTTGACCGGCCCACAGGAAGCTCACATCCAGTGCAGGCCTGGGGGCCTCAACCTCAGCTGGGGTTGGAGAGGGCACTCACGCTGGGGCAGGTGGACGGGGGCCTTGATGCTCTCTGGGTGCTTGGGGGGTTCCGGCCGCAGCGAGGGGCTGAAGGGCTCACTGCGGATGATGGGTGAGTGGATCTTCTCCTCCTTCACCACCACCAGGGGCTGGGGCTGGACCACGGAGGCTGCACGTAGCTCCTGGGACGGCACAGGCATGGCAGCTGGTGAGGTGGATGGGCGCCCCTGGCCCCAGCCTACGCCCATCCCTGGGGACTGTGGCCCAGCCCTGCCCTTTACCTGCTTCTTAGGCTGGACGTTTTGCTGAGGCGGTGACTGGTGGGTCAGACTCTGGAACTGTGGCATCTGGGGGGAATGTATCATAAGCGGGGAGGGGGCTTCACGGAGGTGACCTAGGAGAAGGGACAAGGAGCTTATCAGCATGTCTGGTATGGAGGCCGCCGGCCCTGGGCCCAGCCAGGCCCTCCCAACCCAAGGGAAGCCCCACAACGGCTCAGCCCCTTGCATGTCAGGCCCTGTGCTCAGAGTGCAGCAGGGCTTCATGGAGCCATGAGCGCAATCCTGGTGTCTGATACCACTGTGTGTCAGAAAAAAAAACTTTCCATTAGGAAACTTTAGCAAGTGCAGATACATCTGGTCCCAGGTGGGATCTGAGCTTGAGTATCTTTTAAAAGCTCTCCAGGTGGTCCTATGGTATGGCCTGGGTCAAATAAAAGGGATGTCAATAACCCCACAGAGCAGGCAGCCTGGGCTCCCGGCTGTCCCCATGTGGCTAGGCTGGTCTGCCTGGACAGCTGCTTCGGGCCTAAGGCTAGATCCCCAGGAACCTCCCCAATACAACTCAACCTGCAAGGCCCACACAATGGGGAGAAGCCTGGACCTGGCCTACACCACAGCAGAACTGGCAGAACAGGTGTTGGGCTCATGGTTCTTGCAGAAAGTGGGCCAGCCCACCCACCTTCATCCAACCAAAGGCTGGGGGGACCCAGGCAGCCTTGGCCTGGGCCTGCCAGCAATCTGCAAACACACGACTGCAACAGCCTCCTGTCTGGGTGGTTCCCTTGGGAGCACCTGCTGAGGCTGACCTGGGCAATGGCAGGCTCTCAGGCCTATGACTTGCAGAAATCTCCTGCCTGCTGGAAGCTTCATCCAGCAGCACCTAGAGGGGAGCCCAGTAGCTCAGGGGCGGTGCCTCCAAGTTGGCCTGGTGCCCAGGGATGCTTGCCAAACCTCCCTGGACTCCAACAACTTGGTCTTTGGCCCAAAGCCCCCAGCTATGCTCCAACACATGTCACTCCCTGTGACTCATTCCAGGCCACAGAGACTCAGGGGGAGATGGGCCCAGAGACTCTAAGCACAGGTAGCCAGAGGGGACCTACCCTGCCCCACCACAAGTGCTGACTCTTCCGAAGGCATCTTATCACCTGCCCACTACTGGTCTCCACAAGGAAACCCAGCCTTGCTTGAGGGTGGAAAACAGGCACATTTGCAGAGCTGCTGGGACCACCACTGGTCTCTCCCAGGGAGGACAGCCAGCTGTTCTCAGCTCAGGGTACACAGTGATCCACTTGGCACCTGGCAGCTTTTGCTGGGTTTAGGAGCAGTTACAGCCTAAAGTCAACAGCTTTATTCAATTTGTAGGCGGCACTCACGGGATACCACCCCCCACCCCGCCCAAGCCAGGCTGCATGATCTACATGCCAAGTCCAGGAACGTCAATGTGTCACCACACCATGAGGCATCTACTAAAACACTGCCCCACCGTGGTCAGCCAAAACATTTTGGTCAGAGACACCTAGAAAACAAGTGCCCAGGAAAGGCAAGAGGACATGGCCTGCCCAATGCTGTTGACTGGAAAATGGCAGCCTAGATCAGGCTGGAGACTGGAAGCAGGAGACAGCAATGATTCCTTGATTCCTGGGTGAGTCGTGAGCTACTTGTGAGCTTCAGCCTAATTCTCCCTCCCGGTTCCACTAGGGGGGCCTCCTAACACCAAAAGCAGAGCACCTGTTTCCATAGGTTCCCAAACAGACCACACTGCCCAGACCTGCTCCTGGCTTTGCCTGGACTTCACACCCCACTGTTTGTTAAGCTAACTCCTGCTCATCCTCTGGTCACCTCCTCCAAGAAGCCTGCCCCAATCCCCAGAGGCGGAGCAGGTGCCTCCCCTGGGTTTCTGGCCTCCTCATCTAGCAGGTATCACAATGCACTGTTAATGCACTTGACTGTGAGTTCCAAGAAAATGGCCCACTGGGACCTTAATCTGTCATCTCGGCTTAAAACACTGCATCAAGTATCATCGCCCCCTTTCAGCTGCCTCTCTCCAACCAACCCAGAGCCTTCGAGGCTCAGCTTTGAGCCCATCTCAGCCTGCAGCACAAACTGACCCATCTGGCTTCTTGAGGACAAAACTCTGGACCTAGCGCCAGCCTCCCCAGAACCCAGGGGCAGGACGGTAGTGCTGGTGGGGGGACACTTACCAGTTGAGTAGGGGTCTGACTTGTGGTGCCGGGGTGAAGGGTGATGCTGGATGACTTGTTGAGGCTTGGCGGGCTGCGGCGGGGGTGGCTGCTGGCCCGTGGGTGGGTGGGGGG